GAGAGTAAGTCTGCCCGAACGGTTTCTCCCAGCTAAGAAAACGCAGGCGTCCCCCTCCCCGCCCCTGTGTCTCCTATCTGTTCTTACAAAGCCCTTAATGCAATATTTGCCCAAAGGCGTGACCCGCTGAGCGCAGGGCGCGATAACATTGTGCAGCCGGAGACCGAGCCGCTCTTCCCCCAACTGCCCTTCCTGGCGTTTGGCTCAGTCTCCCCGGATCGGAAAGGCCAGGCAACTCCCCCGGCTGCCCAGGAGGCGAGGCCCTGGCAGCCCAAACAGCCCCGGGTCTCGCTTGCGCTGTTCTCGGGGCCAACGCTCAGGCCGGGTCAGGCCGGTTCCGCCGGCCAGCAGCAGCGGTTCTCGGCCGCGTTGGAAGAGTCCGGTTCCGTCCGGAGAACCGAAAGGGGACGGTGGAAGAAAGGGTTTGCCGCTCGCCTCCAGCGCCGAGGGGAGAGAAAAGGCTTGGCCGTCTGTTAGCCCCCAAGGCAGATGTTCCAGATGTTGACGCTCCAGGCCTCTGGGTCTTAATTCCAAAAGAAGCTGAGCGGTTTATTTGGAGGTCGGTCACACTGGGAAGGGGGGACTGAGGTCCACGAAAGCGTGTGATGCTTTGCAGTGTGTGCGACAACCGCCTTTCCGGTGCCACGAGTGTTTCTGAAGACAAAAAGTACCGTTGCTGTCTCTGCTGGGGGCTTCTCGGGTGGACGCAAGGACCTTCGTTAGCTCAGCAGCTCTGCTTTGGATGATGGTTGGGTTTCCTGGTGGATCCCACGAGGCCTTCTTAAAAGCAACCGACGCCCCGTGTAACGGCGCATTCCCACGGTACTTTTCGCTGAACTTTAAATAAACTGCAATCCAGTTGAATTATTAGGAAGGAGAAGCCTTGGAGGACATCATAGGATTAATCGCAACAGTGTGTTGTTTTGTTTCATTTTGAGGACATTTCTTCCATGAATGCAAGTTTAAAAAGTTCAGGTCAATGCCACTTTCAGAACTTTTTATGAAAAACCCAAAACTGCAAGCTGCCAGCTTCTTAAAATAAATCCAGGGATTTCCACTGGGTATATATGGGTCCATTCCTAGATGGATGTGTTGGAGAATAAGATGCCAAGGCCTTGACAGAACTTCTGATCCTATCAGTGCTGATTCTAATCCAATTCTGGTTAAATAGACATTAATAACTGATGCTTCAGTAGGCATAAAAATCCTTATTAGCCTCCAAACCGCTCAGTCCAAAGTAGAAGACTGGCATCTGTGTTCAAAGAAGGGCCAGTTAGAGCTTCTCATTTGTCCTTTTCTGAAATCTTACCAGAGTATACAATGTGTGTTTGCACATGAAATTTCATGGATCCTGATGAAACTTCTTTTATTATTTCTCACTGAATGCAGACACGTGTATATGTACGTTTTTTAGAAAAGCCGAGACATGTCATTGTAATTTTCATGCAAATACATTTGGAATCAGCGCTCAACGTTTCTTCTAAGCATAGATGCACAGGCCGTCTTATCTGTCTGCTATAGTTCTACAACTATAATTGCAGCAGGATTCAATGGTAAATTGCTGCCTGCAGCTTTGCCACTTTGCACGACACTGAATTTGCCCCTAAAAGATATAGACGGGGTCTTTACCCATTAACACAAAACAAGGGAAATGCACTAGGTTTACAATCCAGACTCTTTTGTCAACAGTGCAAACTTTTAATATTTGCAATGTCAGCTCCATGGTATTTAAGAGGGTTATTCCTTGGCAAACACGTGAAGGACTCTTAATCAGTCTGCCCGATTTCTGTGTCAGTCTTCACAAAATCCAGGCTCGACCTTCATTAGTTTCAGGTAAAATCAATACAGAGTCTCTTTCCAAAGCAACCTTCATGTGTTGGTCATAACGGCAGCCCTGAGAAGATCTTGGCTTGGAGCAGCAGCTCAGTCTGATCTTCTGCAGAGGTAAGGAACAGAGTTCTACTAAGCTCTCTTCTCCAGACTGGAGCAAGAGTCAATTCTGCTGAAGTAGCTTTTTAGTAAGTTGCAATCCAAAGCCAGCCTTCCTATTTGTCCCTCATTTCTGCTGCAAAAGTGGATCCCTCAGCATTGTCCTTCCCCCCCCCCCCCACAGGTAGCAAATTTGATTCACATTTTCGGACAGCAAAAACTACACGAGAAAACCTCATCGTTTTCTTTCCCCACCGTCCGTGTGTTTTTTATCAGCACAATCAATTAAAGCAAATTCCTTGGAGTCATTGACAGCTAAAAACCATTCTGATTCTTGGAATTGAATACACTGATTCACTGTTTTTTTTTTAAAAAAAACTGCAAACCATTCCATGATTCCGTTGTTTTAAAATTAAAATATAGCGTCATGAATATCACACCCAGCACTCTTAAAGACAGAGCTTAAAACTGAATTTCCCCACGCTGAAAAATTTAATATTTCCAAGTCTATGTAATTAACATGTAATCCTTTCAAAGAGGTACAGTACTTTAAAAAAACAGGAGAATAACATATGGTATATTCTTATATTCCTTTTCTTTTTTAAAAAAATTAAAACGTGTGAGCAAGTGCCCAGGTACAGAGCAAATATTTTACAGAACTATTTTAAAGTCATATCCCCCAATGAATTGCAAATAAAAAGGACTGGAGCAGGTCTCCACAAACTTCAATCAAAGACTCCTTTACAGATGCATCCCAAACAAGTGTGATATGAAAACAAATATAGACCAAGAGCAAATTTAATATGAGAGTCAACTCCAGGCTTCTAATGCAAACTCAACAGTTCATTAGGAATCTCCTTCACTATACTATTACTTATATATAATATAATATAATATATTATAATAAGTTAATATTAATATATTAATATAATATAATAAGTTATAATCTTGCCAGCCTAGTTTATTCCTTCCAAAGTCTTAATTCACATTGCAGTAAATGAACATTCCGGACATTCACAAGATATTTTTAAAGGATTTACAAATAAATATGTGAACTACACTTCCCTTCATCAGATGCCACTGAGGGTGAACTGCGGGGCCCCACAAAACCTATGCCATAATAAACACGCCAGTGTATGAAATGACAGATCTGATTCCTTATTTATTAATTGGGCTCCTATGGTGCTTTGTAGGACTAAACATATCCAAGAAAGTAAGGCTTAATGTGGTCCAGTCTTTTTCCAAAAGCCTTTATTCTGGAAAGACGTCACCGTGGGCTGTTGGAGTTTAGGATTCCACTTATCTTAAACGTGGATACTCAAAAATAAGTGTCACTGTGTTTATTCAGGCTGATATTTCTGCAGCAGTGATAATTAAGATTGCAGGATTTCCCTCCTCTCTTTCTAATTGCATCAGAGAAGAGAAAGGTGCTGCCATTTTGATAAATGCCCGGATAAAACTTTTGAGAGACAAAATGGATAATAGTGGTAACAATGACAGTGAGGATGATGGTGGTGCACATTCTCTGCTTTCAATAGCTCCCTGCAAAAAAAACCAGACTGTTCTCTGTGTAAAGTGTCTTCTCAGTTTCAACCAGGAAATAGAAAGGCCTCATTCTGTGAAGCAGGACAGGCCGAAATTGGGGTACAACAGAGCACAGCCCCTCTGCAGGAACCATACAGCAGGTTGAGTTTACCATAATGTGAAAGAAGAGAATTTACTAAGGCAAAGTGTGCAATTTTTACCAGGATGAGTGATGACACCCTTAACTCCGGAGTGGCCTGCAGAGTAGTGAATGGACGCAGAACAAAAACTCCATTATGTTTCTTGCATTAAAACCGCGCTACTGTACAATCAAAACAATTACTCCCTGGTCATGAATTTCACTGTTTCTCTTTTCATTCACACTGAAAGATACACAAGTTCTTTGGAAGTACACTCAAGGTTTTCTGTGTGCAAAGGGCTGTGTGGCTTTCGAGTGGTGCACCTCTAAATGAATCCTCAAACTTTCATTTAGTTAGAGACTAAGGCTACTTAACAGGGCACTGCTTTAACATTTGAAAGCATGGCAGAGAGCTTTGAAAACAACTACACGACCTTATTTATTTTAGTCTGTTGGCATTCAATGTTTTTGATTTGATAATCTCTAGAAAGTCAATCATTGTTTTATTACATTTCTAGAACATTCCCCTGTTTCAATGCATGCTATTTTAAGTGGCCTAGGGATAGGATTTACTCCTGAGTAAACAAAAAGATTTATTGCAGGGCAAATCACACAAAGAAAAATACAATATTGTATTGTGTTACTTTCTATATATGGTAGCCTCAATGAATTTAGAGGAAGTTTCTTTTGATCATATTAGCTACGGGGCCAACCTTCTATATACGTTGTAGCAAAACTCAGTTTCTACAACCACTTTGTCTGGGAATGATGGAAATTGTATTTCAACTCCTATGAGAGTTCCAGGACCCTGGATAGGAACTCAAGTGCTCTACATTCAGGCACCATTCATTAAATTTCGGTGGCATTCTGACCCATTCACTCCTGGCTTCAGTTTGGGCAATTATCAAGAGCTCATCGGAATCCTTTCAGGATTAACAGGCACAAGAACATACCGTATTTACACCACAGCCTTACACTTAAGTGACATTTACCCATAATTTATTCAACCCATTTTCCCAGCTTTGCACATCACACTAAACTATAAACTAAGACTGGCTTTGCAGAGACACTTTAACGTTAAGTTAAAGCATGGCTGGATTTATGTTTGTTTTTTTTAAAATGGTGATTCACCAACTCCATCCAACGAGAAAGCCCTCTTTTTTGATTGGCCAGCTTTTTTGAACTGGGCGCTCTCCGGATATGCTGGACTACAATCGTTTTTCTCCTCAAACCAGCCGCCGCCGAGGCACTGACTGGGGATGATGGAAATTGTAGTCCAAAGCTATCCGAAGGAGGCTCCGGGTTGGAGACGGCTAAGGGCTGGTCCCCTTGCAAAAGGCAAGGGAGAGGGACGGAGGAGAGGCGTTCTTCTTCGGCCCCGGGCAGAAAGAAGAGGAAGGCGCCTTACCCGTGCCAGCCCACTGTCCCTTCCACGCGTGAGACTTGGTCGACTTCATCCAAGGGAAGGGCAGCGGCGCTCTGGGCTGCTCCAGCACCCCGGCCTCGGTCCCTTCTCCGAAGGGAAGGGTCTCCTGCGGCGGTAGAGAGAGCTGAGCGGGATGGTGGGGGGGAAGGGGGTGGAGGTGCGGAATGCCCG